CTCCTAGGTCAAAAGCTCGATTGACTCAATTACTCTACCGTTAGGAGACAGACTCCCTCGAGAATGACCTGGAACGCGCGAATCGATGAATGTGGTAGGCTCTATTCAACCTAGGGCAACCCTATATCGTAGGAGATTGATGGAATCGACTCCGATTACCCGAGTGATATAGGATGAGGAGTGACCCGAAGACGCCAATAATGGGCTCTAAGGGGATTTTCTCCCTCCTAGGTCAAAAGCTCAATACATGAAAATGGAAACCCAACTCATGTCTTTCTTGAAAACATCCATCAATTAAGTAAAATCATCAATCAAACATGGAATGTGTCACATACATCAACATTAAACCCAAATCTAGACGTAGGGTTCTTAAACCAAGAGAAGAGGGTGAGTTTCTAGAGAGAGAAGAGAGAAATTACAAATTGGAGCCCAATATATTATTCTTCTTCTAGACTTGAATCCTTGTTTTCAAGATCAACCCAAGCCTCCAATTAAGCTTCAAGATCAATCAAACACTCTCCCTCTATCTCTAGAACTCCCCTTTGGTGTTTTGGGGTGAAACCCTAGAAGAAAGAAACTATTTCCTCTCCCAAAAACCAGCTCTCCCTTTTCTTTCTTCTGTTGTTGCCTTTAATACCCAGATCGAAGGTTGTTCACAGTCTGAGTTCACGATCATGAACTCAAAGCCTGGACCATGAACTCTAACCAATTCGCGTCGTTTCACTATAGCACTTCACGTCTGGACCCTCTGCAATGGCTCTGGAACCCGGTCAGTTCACGGTCATGGGACAACTGTCACGGTCGCTACTTTGGCCATTTTTCACTTTTTTACTCTTTTCGACCTCCAATTGACCCGAAACTCGTCCTCGACCTTCCCACGCGTACTAGGACCTGAAATGTATCAAAACAAACACAACCTAGCGTAAAATAGGTGGAGGGACAGTGATCTACTAAACAAAAAGGACAAGAAATTTAGGGGTAAATTGTGTGAATTTGGACCAGAATCATGCAGTATTTTGGGAGTAAGTAACATGAATATGACTCCACATCTCGTGAGCTATCCCAAAACGCCAAAGAGAAAGAATCATAAGGAGATCCACCGACGCCAAAGGTCACGTCACCAATTGGGTATTAGCCGCAACCTAGTCCTCAACCTCCTTGGTCGACGCACCAGCTTGCGGAGCCTTAGCCTCGACCGTTAAGACAAAAAGGAGGCGCTTCCCAGCAACAAAATTGCGAAATTGGAATTCCAAAATCGCAAAATTGCGACCATCAAACTTAATCGGAAAAAAATCCATCTTTGAAAAATCCATAATACCTTAGACGAACAAAAACAAATCGACAACAAAGAAACCCAGCCGAGACCAACGAAGTCGCACCTACCAATGATAGAACCCTCACAACAACAGTGCAACAAACCAAACCCCAATGGCTACTCATACCCAATAAACTAATAGAAGAGCAGACGAGAAAGGACCTGAGCACCGCAACCACAAAATCTACCTAGAGAAACAAACCAAACTTAGAGCAGAGGCTCTAATACCATGATAGAAACTATGAACCAAATGAATAATGAACACCCAAGATTTTACGTGGTATCCTTGAACCTTTGTACTAATTCACGGAAGAGGTTGTGCTCCTCAAAAGTTTCACTATCTCAAAATTAGGTTACAGAGATATGGAGTCGTAGCTCAATATATATGGTCGCTTGTGTGAGACTCTAAAAGTGGTAATAATACATCAAAATTTGAACTTTAATTGGTAGAATTGATGTAAAATAATGATATAACATAGAATCATAACTAATCAATCCATTGCCCTAAACTCTTGACCTTCAATTTTAAATCCTAGCCCAAAACCCCAAATTGTAAACCTAAACTCTACCCTAAATAATTCAAATTAAAGTACATCTTAGATGATTTTTGTATAAATTCCTGTATTTTCTTGTCCATCATACCATACGTGACAATTGCCATCGTTTTTACATGAATCGCCTGCTTAGAATCAACCTAGGACACCCCTATAGCATAGGAGATCGATCCAATCGACTCCCTCGGGGATCGCCCGGACGATATGGGGCGAGGAGTTGTTTCCCTCCTAGGCCAAAAGCTCGATTGACTCAATTACTCTACCGTTAGGAGACAGACTCCCTCGAGAATGACCCTGAACGCGCGAATCGATGAATGTGGTAGGCTCTATTCAACCTAGGGCAACCCTATATCGTAGGAGATTGATGGAATCGACTCCGATTACCTGAGTGATATAGGATGAGGAGTGACCCGAAGATGCCAATAATGGGCTCTAAGGGGATTTTCTCCCTCCTAGGTCAAAAGCTCAATGCATGAAAATGGAAACCCAACTCATGTCTTTCTTGAAAACATCCATCAATTAAGTAAAATCATCAATCAAACATGGAATGTGTCACATACATCAACATTAAACCCAAATCTAGACGTAGGGTTCTTAAACCAAGAGAAGAGAGTGAGTTTCTAGAGAGAGAAGAGAGAAATTACAAATTGGAGCCCAAGATATTATTCTTCTTCTAGGCTTGAATCCTTGTTTTCAATATCAACCCAAGCCTCCAATTAAGCTTCAAGATCAATCAAGCACTCTCCCTCTCTCTCTAGAACTCCCCTTTGGTGTTTTGGGGGGAAACCCTAGAGGAAAGAAACTATTTCCTCTCCCAAAAACCAGCTCTCCCTTTTCTTTCTTCTGTTGTTGCCTTTAATACCCAGATCGAAGGTTGTTCACAGTCTGAGTTCACGATCATGAACTCAAAGCCTGGACCATGAACTCGAACCAATTCGCGTCGTTTCACTACAGCACTTCACGTTCTGGACCCTCTGCAATGGCTCTGGAACCCGATCAGTTCACGGTCATGGGGCAACTGTCACGGTCGCTACTTTGGGCATTTTTCACTTTTTTACTCTTTTCGACCTCCAATCGACCTGAAACCCGTCCTCGACCTTCCCACGCGTACTAGGACCTGAAATGTATCAAAACAAACACAACCTAGCGTAAAATAGGTGGAGGGACAGTGATCTACTAAACAAAAAGGACAAGAAATTTAGGGGTAAAATGTGTGCATTTGGACCTAAATCATGCAGTATTTTGGGAGTAAGTAACATGGATATGACTCCACATCTCGTGAGCTATTCCAAAACGCCAAAGAGAAAGCATCATAAGGAGATCCACCGACGCCAAAGGTCACGTCACCAATTGGGCATTAGCCGCAACCCAGTCCTCAACCTCCTTGGTCGACGCACCAGCTTGCGGAGCCTTAGCCTCGACCGTCAAGACAAAAAGGAGGCGCTTCCCAGCAACAAAATTGCGAAATTGGAATTCCCAAATCGCAAAATTGCGACCATCAAACTTAATCGGGAAAAAATCCATCTTTGAAAAATCCATAATACCTTAGACGGACAAAAACAAATCGACAACAAAGAAACCCAGCCGAGACCAACGAAGTCGCACCTACCAATGATAGAACCCTCACAGCAACAGTGCAACAAACCAAACCCCAATAGCTACTCGAACCCAATAAACTAACAGAAGAGCAGATGAGAAAGGACCTGAGCACCGCAACCACCAAATCTACCAAGAGAAACAAACCAAACTTAGAGCAGAGGCTCTAATACCATGATAGAAACTATGAACCAAATGAATAATGAACACCCAAGATTTTACGTGGTATCCCTGAACCTTTGGACTAATTCACGGAAGAGGTTGTGCTCCTCAAAAGTTTCACTATCTCAAATTTAGGTTACAGAGAAATGAGTCGTAGCTTAATATATATGGTCGCTTGTGTGAGACTAAAGAGATGGCTAATTGGAGAATACACTAATTACAGAAAGGTACTTAAACCGTATAACTTAACAAGAGAATGATCAATGAGAGAAAGTGAAGAGTAGGGATGGCAATTACCCACCCATGGGTAATTATACCCAAACCCAAATAGACCCATTGATAATGGGTTGGGTATGGGTGAAGTGCATATGGGTTTGGGTAAGGTATAGATATTGCTTTCATAATCTAAATGGGTATGGGTTGGATATGGATATCCATTTACTTGAGGGTGTTTTAACTACACAAGCAAAAATTGGACTTATTTGTAAAACTTGAAAATTTTAGGTACCAAAATGTAAGACAACAAAAATTAGGTACCAAAATGTAATTTTCCATCGATATTTTGAGGACTCATATGCAAAAAAAAAAGGTACTAAATATACATATCTATTAAGTTTAGGTACCAAACTGTAATTTGTATTTGGGCATGGGTACAAACCCAAATCCATTTGTTATAAACCCAACCCAACCCAAAGTAAATGGGTATGGGTACAAACCCATCAAACTCTATTCATATCCATATATTTGAATTTTATATCCAACCCAATTAGATTGGATAGTAAAATACCCATGAGTATGAGCAAAATTGTCGGAGCTCATTTTTAGTTTTATTTTGTTTCCATTTCATAGGTAAAGCGGAAAGCGAGGGCAAGGGAGGATTTCTATTTAAATATGCATAGAATTTGTAGTTTAGGCTAGCTATTCGAATAAGCAGCTGTGGAGCTACTGCAAGTAACCTACAAACAAAAATCTTCCAAAAGGCACGGAAGAACGCAGATCAAGTCGACGAGAATAATTCAAATTACCAGTGACGACAAAGATTCCTTTGTCCTTGTACTCATATATTATTTGAGTCAGTGGCGGAGCGAGAGCACAGGGACGGGGTCCCAGGACCCCACTTGGCCAAAAAATGTGAGCCAAATACCACTTGTATACGTCTCTCAATATGGGGTTATAAATATAGGACCCCAATGCTTTTACCTTTTATAATACTCTCCACCTGCCACCAGTAACTATTATATAATTGTAAAGCATTTTTTTAATATTATAAGTAATTACAATAATCTATATTTTTCCAACCCCAATGTGAAAAGTAGTATCTCTCTCCACGTTCTCCAAAGAAAATACAGAATACAATTTTCCCCACTTTTACGATTTCAATCCTCTCTTGTTCGACCGCCAACAAGGAACCTTTGCCGCCTGCCCGCCGTTCCATTTTTGTCTTCTCCGACTCTTCTTCGCCACCAGATCACACCAGCCGCCCAACCGCCAAAGCTTTGAGATTCACTGGCTACTCAAATACGGGATCTATGCTCATGCTTTGTTGGGATACAAAAGCCCTAAATTGAAAATTTCCCAAAATTGACACGGATCTCTCTTACTAAGGTATAATCTGCAATTCTATCTATTCGCTTTGTTGCTTGCCCTCGTTTAGGATTAAATTGGTGGAGAGCAGAGGGACACTTTGATCCATGGATAGTTTGAGAGGGAAGGGATTAATTGGTACCCTGCTTTTGCTTCTGTTGCAGGAGCTCTTTTCCCCTTTTAAATAATAAATACATTAGTGGGACAAGTAGGGATTAGATTATTTATTTGTTGAGATGAGTTGATTCGTTTGAGGACTAGTTATTACTTATTAGAGTAGTTCTTACATTGGCAGCCATTAGTAAGCTACGAGTCCCTTTTTCTTGATTAGATTAACTAATTTCCTTAGACTTCAAGTGGATTCATTTATCGGGGAGGTGCAGCGAGATGAGAGGTTCAAAGACTTGAAAGGAGTGGACGAGTTGGCCATAAAGATGGTGGAAACATATAAGCATAACCATTACCCATTAGTTTATTTGCTTATTAAACTAACACTTATTTTGCCTGTTGCTACTGCAAGCGTGGAGAGGTCATTCTCAGCTATGACCTACATCAAAAACAACTTTCGGAACCGAATAAGTGATGATTGGCTTAATGATTGCTTGGTAGGCTATATAGAAAAGGATGTACTTAGTAGTGTAGATCCTGAATGTGTTATACAGTGTTTTCAGAATATGAAATCACGTCGTGGTTCATTGTAGAAACAAACAAGTGTATCGTATTAGTAAAATGTCAAAATTATGTGTTCTTTTTTTTTTTTTCATTAATAATATTTTATAAGAACCCCAGTTCATCCAAAGTCTGGCTACGCCACTGATTTGAGTTTTCCAAATCGGAAACGGTGGCTGGTGGCAATCGTGGCCTTAGCCTTACCGCGGCCTCCCTCGGTTGTTTCGGCAACTGAATTTATCGGGTTCGCTCGATGAGAAGAGGAGCTTCCCTCGCCGGAGGCACGAGCTATGAGGGAAGACGAACTTCAATTTGTTCGCTTGATGGGAAAAGGAGCTTCCCTCGCTCATGCCAATCAGGTTACTCACGATCTAGCCCTCGACTTCGACATCTGAAATCCAACCAACTCCTTCACAGCTAGGGCGATGACGCGGCGGTGGCACTGGCTAGTAATTTGCTCCATCAGAATCAACTGGTCCCATCTCCGCCACCTCCTTTACCGACATCCACTGGCATGTCTTCCCCTAGCCACAATGGTAACAACGGGAATCCTTCTATGGCAGAATTCGCCGTCGACTCCTTGGCGGAGCTAACTAGCCGGAAGAAGCTGAGGCTGGTGTGGAAAATAATTTCTCAAAGGGTTAGAATTTTTTCTTTTTTAGGCATTCTCATTCTCAAAGGTTAGATTAGACAAGAAAAAAGATTTGACAAATATTTTTATTATTTTTAATTGACATATAAGTTTTTTAACCATCAAATATTAGATTTGACTGCTCCTAGGCTGAAGACGACAGGATTAGACGGAGAGTGATCACGAATGACATAAATGTGTAATTTTGAAAGGGAAAATTATTTTAATGACAAACATGAAGCAAACTATAATATGAGTGACCAAACTTGCAATTCCCCCTTAAAATATAATATAATATAATGCAACTTCGAACAAGAGTGTCAGCTACAATCACTTGTTTGATGGAGATCTGGGTTTTCATTGAAGGAATCAAATGTACAATTTTACATTTATTCATATCGTCCAGTCGACGCGAAGCACCGCGAGCGGACTTAGAGTCAAAGACAGAAAGTAATCAAATTACAACAAACATACACTTATTACTACTTGCAAAGTGCAGCGAGAACACGGCGAGGCGGGGTGAAATGCTTGCGTCCGTGAAGAACAGCTAAATTGTCTATAAACAGAACGTCCCCCTTCTGCCAAGGAATAGCAACGCTTTCCTCCTCCATGATCTGCAAACAATGGTAGACGGCATCGCCTGGCAAAGCGTCCCCGCTCCCAAACGTGACCTCGTCCCCAAAAGCTGTATAACTCGTCACCATCCCGTTGAACCAAATCTTTCGATCCCTCGACTTGTCGTGTTTGATTGGTTGGTTGGGACCGATTACTCTTCTCATTGACCCATCTCCTATCCACTCTAGCTTTACTCCTAGCTCTGCAGCTCTGCTTGTAGCAATAAAGAACCAGAACCATTGCAAATGTTCAAGTTTTGTTTATAATCCATGTCAATCCTGGAGAAGGTGAAAGGGAAGCGGTGAAGGGATAGCAGAGAAAACACAAACCTCTGCTCCGCAACAAGTTTGTCGTCGGTGGAAAACATTGACTTCCAGCCGCGACCGATTGCAGATGAAGGGTCGTCTTCTTCCCCCATCACTCTCCTGGAAACCATCCCTTCCTTTTCCAGCCGCTCTACGAAATCCGGGTACTTGTCTCTCATCCTCTCGTACACCACATGGCTCAACACCAACGGGGTCTCGCCGCCGCTGCCCGGCGCCACCTCGCAGAAGAAGAACAACTTCTTTGGATACTCCGCCGCCTGAAAATTCAAATTCACCCAAGTTAACCAAGTAAATTTTTAGTTTTGGATGACTCGAAAATTGACTGAATCAATTGAATCAGGCTAATTTCTGTTCGCAGACATAAGTCATCTCGTGGTGGAAGGGGATCTTGCGATCGGGCGGGGAATCATTGGCGGTGTAGACGCGACCCACGACGTTAGTCCGGGAGGCCGTTCCGCCGAGGTAAGGCTGATCGGTGTACCCGAAGGAGTCCACAACTCGATCGAATTCGGCAGCGCTGGAGACGGGGAATCCCCTGAATAGGATTGCCCCTGTTTTGTGGAGCAGCGATTCCAGATGCGGCTTCTGGGATTCTATGGCAGAGGTGAATTCGGCGAGAGATGGCGGTGAGAGCGGCGAATTTGGCCCGAGTACGGCGGGGAACGGCGGGGAATCGGTGAAATGTTTCTGATTTGGTACTTCAATTTCCTGGAAAAAGCTTGCCATTTCTGATTTGCAGATGAGTTCTTTGTCGGTATGTCCGGAGTCAAACACTCAACACTACTACTACTACTCGAGATCGAGATCGAGAGAGAGAGAGAGATCAGAGATAGGTAGAGAGCCATTTGCACATTTGGGCCGAGATTTGTTCTGACATTCTCTCAACTACAATAAGATCCATAAGGCCCGAGTACAGCTGTCCCGGCCCAAGGAGAAAAGTTCAATAACAACACATAAATTTTGAATTCTACGGAATTGGAACTAGTTATATCAATTCCGAGGAATTGAGATGGAATTTCCAAATGAATTCCACAAGTATTTACTATTTTTAATAGAATGATATAATTATCCTATTTTATTAACTAAATTACTTATACATATGACATACCAAACACAAGAATTCATTTGACAATGAATTCTACACCGCAATTTATTGTATTTCTAAAGATTTGAATATGACATACCAAACACAAAGATTTCATTTGAGAATGAATTCTACACTGTAATTCATTTTACAATGAAATGAATTCTTGATTCATTTGGTACCAAACAGTCTGTAAAGTAAATTTAAAGGTTGATATTATCAAAGTTGAGGGAAATAAATATTCGAGGAATTTTACAATGCTATATAGTATTGGTGTTATAGGTTTTTGTTTTTATGATAAAACTTGAAATTGTATCTTTAATGTTATGGTACAACTTCAAATTGTACCTATACTTTTTGTGCAAATTCTTTTATGGTACAACTTAAACTTGTACCTTTATGTAATGGTACAACTTCAAGTTGTAAAGTATCATAACATAATGATACAAATTCATTTATGGTACAACCTAAACTTATACATTTATTGTTATTGTACAACCTAAAGTTGTACATTAAAGCACCAATACTATATAGCATAGTAGAAGTGCTCTAGAGATCTTTGTATCCTTAGTACGTTTTACATTGCGAGTGAGCAGGTCAAGTGGCTGTTAAGAGTACTTTTCAATTTTCAACAAATTTTTAATGGATTGTTAGAGGAGGGGGGAGGAGAGGGAAGAAGGATCGTACGGTGGGTGATGAGGGCCGGTTACATAGTTTGTGTGTTATGAGAGGTGAGTTGCTAATAGTTACATGGAGTGTAAAATTCAGTTATTAAAATTTTGAAATATTATTTTATTTGTATATATATTTAGAAAATGAATAAAACGGTTTAAATAGGGTGAATCTCAATCAAATTATGGAATTTCAAGTGACTTGTTTGATCGACTCAATGACTTTAAATAGTTTGACAACCTTCTAGAGTCCAACTAAGTACCGGGCCGATCTTTTAAGGATAACACTCCGGCAACAATAAGAGCAACAAAGCCCAAGTTAAGTCGTCCAGCCCAGGTCCCCAAGAACATCCAAACAGAAGAAACATCCCGCTTCTCTCCCAAATTCAAATTCACGACGCTCCCAATTCCGGCAAGCTGAGAATCCCCAGAAATGGCGAGAAGCGAAGCTACGCCTACTAGATTAGGTCCCGTGAGGAGGCCGTTGCAAGACCTACCGAACAACCTCGGCGTCCTCCGTACAGGAATCAGCGGCAAAACCGCCACCGACGGCGGCAACGTTGGAGTCCGAGTCTCCAAGTCAGAGATGAACAACAAGGTCCCACGGCGAAGTGCTACTGTAGTTGAAGCAAGGAAAGACGACAGCGAAGACTGTCTTGATCGTCTGCTGCACGTCCATTCGGATCTCGCTTCTCTCAATCGTCAGGTAAACACGCGCTAGTTCTGGCCTTCGCTTTTTCAGATTGAAATAGTTTCTCTAGGGATTTGAACGGCGAATTTTCCCCAATCCGAGATACACCGAATGATAATTGTTAGGGTTTCCGATCTTTTCAGCGTTTACAGAGATTCGCATTCTGTAACTCAGCCATGTAACTGATGAAATTGTTGTGACGAGCATCTGAGATTGAAATCGTTCCCCAGGGGATTTGAAAGCTGAACTTGAATGGATATTGTTCAGCATTCAAGGTCTAATTTCGTTCTTCTGATTCATGAACAGATTGATGAACTTGTTGCTCGAGCATTTAAGCTGAAATCTAATGGCGAAGAAGGAAGAAGAGAAATCGAATCATTTTCTCATTTCTTATCCGATACGCTTTCATCCTTCAAGGTTAGTTTTCTGATAATGAAGTTGGCTAGGGATGTTTTAGGTTGAGGCAGACTCTGCTTGCACCAATTCTAAGCGGAACCACATTGTACAATGATAACAGCCATGGGTGTCAAGATTTGAGAAGGCACTTGCCACTCCGCCGTTGGAGCCTGACAATCAGCTCGAAAAGCCTCCGGTAGAGGAAACTGCTTCACCTGTAACTGAAGAGAGTTTACAATCTGAAAGTCCAGGGGAAAGCGAGATGGACTTTTTGATCTCTCCTTCTCCTCTAGTCTCGTGGCGAGCTGATTGCAACATCGACAGAACCCGGCAGCAGTTGTTTCTACTCACACCTCTTCCTATGTCGAAAACCTTATCGACCAAACGACTCCAGCAGTTGCTGCCCGCAACAGCATTGGAAAAAAGCATGGCTCCGGATTCTACCGCGACAGAGCTGCTGCCATCATTTCTGGCGATTTCTGGAGAAGACAATGATGATTTGCTTGAAGGTGTGAAGATAAACCCAACTCCAAGTAAGCCTTGTGGTTCTGTTCCCTCAGAAGGGAACAACAACAGCAGCAGCAGCAACAGTGAGAGTGGGTCAGTCTTTTCCACACCCATGATTTCGAACAAAGGTCATCGCTCCATGTTGGTCATGACCCCATGCTTAAAGACTTCCCCTCCAAAATCTTGCCTTCTACTCGAACCCATTGCCGAGGTTCCTCATAAAACCAGTTACTTGACTCGCCAATCGACTCCATATCCTGTTGGCCTACACTCCCAAGTATGGGAATCTGAATCTTCTTCTGGAAGTGAAGCGTCCAAGGACCTTGGGGTGAGGTATCCTGAACTTTTGGGGATTCAATGGGCGGCCAAGTCAAGCATAAATGGGCAGAAAGATTTGGAGAAGTCGCCTGAGTGGTCCTTTTCACCTCTGAAAACTTGTACCCTGTTGCCGCCATCAGACCAGAATTCAATGGCTGCTGCCGAACCATCTTCAGATCAAGGTGATCAATCACCTTTTCCTTCTTCTATTAGATCTTCTCAAATTCAATGTTTCTGACGTAATTGCAATAGTTTGAGAGTTTTTATTCTTTCTTTTGGGTTCTCAGAGCTTGTAGGTAGCAGACGCTGTCAAGTGGAGATTGAGAAGACTCCCGCATGTAAATTCCCTGAAAGCACGGTGAGAAGAGGAGGTAAGAATCCCGGAGAGACCACTTTGAAGAGGGAGTTATGGACCAAGTTTGAAGCAGTCACCACTTCTGGCCTTCGACTGAATGCTTCGGCCATTGTAAGGGGCTCACGGAAAGGGTTTCTGGATATGCTTGATGAAGTTTCTTATGAAGAGCGAACCGAGAGTTGATACCAGTAAGTTGCAGACGACCAAACGAAACCAGCAGTGAATCTAGTTGGGACTTGGTTGGTTCAGTGTACTCAGATGTATCTAGTTAGGGTCTTGGTTCGATGTAGGATCATGTTGGAACAATGGAGTTCATAACTGTCTGCATGTAACTCTACTTTTGGTTTGTTAAAAATATCTGCAATCTCAAAAATCAGTAGATTATTTTCATGATCCAAGGTTCATCACATAACACTTTGTTTTGATCTTCTTTATATAGAATTGGAACACAAACAACTGGTCACCAAGTTCTTTAATCTCAAAGTTTTTCTTGAGATTCCCCGACTTCTCCAACAAAATTTTCGTTGCCTTCACATTGGGTTTCTTCTTTGTAACCAATCTTCCTACTAGATCAAGCTTTCGGATTAGTTCCATTGACACCACATTATAAAGATCGCCTTTTCCTGTAATAGGACTAGGTTCCCCTCTTTTTCTTGGGGTTGTAGCTCTAGAGCTTGAAACACATTATTTTGTATATTCAATATGTCTTCTATATCTCCTTCTCGAGCACGTCAAGTTTGTGATAAAAACTAGAGTTGTCGAACGATCTATTGATATATGCTTTTGAAAGTTTTCTATTAGAGTTGTGAATCTGATCTCTCATTCGTCCTAGTCGCACGAGGCAGATTAGGAGCACCACTAGTGTGCATTTCGTGTAGAACTAATATCAATATAAATCAAATTATTCCTTTATTGCACTACTCTACTCCTACTAAAGCATTTCAACCGAGCTTTCGCCACATGCAAGTGAAACAATAGCTAGCTAATGCGTGATTTCGCTCATACCATCAACTAACTTATAAAGAATAGAGAAGTAAGGATAACACTCAGTTATTCTGATCTAACAATCAAGCATTGATCATATACATGAAATGGATGAGTGATCGATATTCCTTTTTATTTCTCATCAAACGAATGGCATCTTCTTCTGGAAATCCTAGATATTCTGAGCATTATAGTGAGGAATCTCATTACTATTACTCAAACAAGCATGAAACGTATGCTTGCATATTCGTCCATAAGTCAAATTGGACATGTAATTATTAGAATAATTGTTAGGGACTCAGATGGTGGATATACAAGCATGATAACTTTATACTTTCTATATCTCCATGAATTGAGGAACTTTTGTTTGCATTGTATTATTTTGTCTATATACCAGAACTACATTATAATCCTCGTTTTTATAAGCATTATTTCTTCCTTGTCTGTTATTGATATTTTCTCTATTTGCTCTTCCACCTTTTTTCTCTTGCATGTATGTTGTTTCTCTTTGTACAAGCATGAGATCGCCTTTTTATGTAATAGGACTAGGGTCCCCTCTTTTTCTTGGGGTTGTAGCTTTTGAGTTTGAAACCTCTTATTTTGTCTCTTCGATATGTCTTCCATATCACCTTCCCGAGCATGTCAAGTCTGTGATAAAAACTAGGGTTGCCGAACGATCTATTGATGTATGCTTTTGAAAGTTTTCTCTCAGAGTTGTGAATCTGATCTCTCATTCGTCCTAGTCGCACGAGACAGACTAGGAGCACCACTGATGTGCATTTCGTGTAGTACTAATATCAATATAAATCAAATTATTCCTTTATTGC